TCACAGCTCACAGCAACCTCCAACTCCTGGGCTCAAGCGAGTCTCCTGCCTCAGCCTCCCAAGTAGCTGGGACTACAGGAACCCGCCACAACGCCTGGCTATTTTTTGGTTGCAGCCGTCATTGTTGTTTGGTGGGCCCAGGCTGGATTCGAACCTGCCACCTTGGGTGTAAGTGGCTGGCGCCTTAGCCACTTGAGCCACAGGGGCCGAGCCAGCAGTATAAATTGTTAGAGAGAATCCCATTTCCCTGACCCTGTGATTTCAGGAGGAAAAGCATGTTTTATTCCCAAGGAACAATATTGGAAATATATTTTCTGCCCTTCTTCAAACCCACCTCATTTCTCTGATTAAGGACATACCTAACTGGTGAGACTAGAGATAGAAATGGGGCATACTTGGCCCAGCACCCCCTCCTCTGCTTCAAAGATGGCCTGCAGTTCTGTGGATAAGCTCAACTAAGGGAGCAACCAGAAATCTGATGCTGGCCACAAGCCAAAGCAAGTTCTTTCATTCAGCCTACAATAATGAAGCTGGTAATTAGAAATCCATCAGTGTTGACTATTTAGAACTGAGAGGGAGGGAAAGGGAACTTGATTTACCACTATCAGCACCAACTGGTAGCATAAATAAGTTAACAGCAGTGCTTCATAAAGACTACCCAGGTGGCTGCTGGCAAGATGGACTGAGAGAGGAAAAGGCTGGAAGCCCATAAATCAGCTGTAGAGCTCTTGCAGTCATCCGAGCATTCAGTGATCATCTATAACCATAAGTATTATCCAATGTCTAATCAATAACCGCTTAAATCAAACATGTACTTGAGCCAATGTGCAAGAGTCAAAGAGTACAAAAAACACTAAGACTTAATAACTTTTTTTTTCTTAATTTCCTTTCATATCTAAAACTGCTTCTGGGCTGAGCACAGTGGATCGTGTCTGTATTCCCAGTACTGTAGGAAGTCAAGGTGGGAGGATTGTTTGAGGATAGGAGCTTGAGACCAGCCTGGGCAAAACAGTAACACCCTAGCTATACAAAAACTAAAAAATTGGTCAAGTGTAGTGGGACATACCTGGAGTCTCCAGCTACTTGGGAGACTGAGGTGAGAAGATCACCTGAACCCAGGAGTTAGAGGCTGCAGTGAGATGTGACTGAGCCCCTGCACTCCAGCTTAAGACTGTATCTCTTAACAACAAACAAGAAACTTGCTTCTGCTGACCAGTGGGATCATTAACTAAAGAGACTGCAACAACTATATAAAGGTATAAAGAGAAGAAATCAAAGGCTAACCAGCCCAGAACCTGATCTGAGCTACAGAGAAGAATTCTAATGTCACAGATCAGTATTATACAGCTCCAAAATAAAGACTGAGAAAGCCCCCATAAAGAGAGGATCAGCCTTCTCTCATAGAGTCTCCTGGATTTCTAAACCTCAAGAGGTTGAAGTGTCTTTTAAGTTAGCAGTCCTTAAAACAGTACCAAGCACTTCCCCCAATCGCTTGTATTTTATACAGCCTAATTAGATAAAAATTGAGGCCCATTAATTATTGCTACATATATATAACAAAGCCTGTAAGTTTTTCTTTTTTTCTTTTTGAGACAGAGTCTCACTTTGTCACACCTGGTAGAGTGCTATGGCATCACTGCTCACAGCAACCTCAAACTCTTGGGCTCAAGTGATTCTCTTGCCTCATCCTCCCAAGTAGTTGGGACTATAGGCACCCACTACAATGCCCTGCTATTTTTAGAGACAGGGTCTTGTTCTTGCTCAGGCTGGTCTCAAACCTATGAGCTCAGAACAATCTCGCCTCAGCCTCCCAGAGTGCTAGGATTACAGGTGTGAGCCACCACCCCCAACTCTCTAAGTTTTTCATTAGTCAGAATCCTAATTTGCACACATCTGACACCCAACCTTGTTTTGTGAAATGCCTCCTTATCCACTCCAAATGGAACTTATGGCAACGTTTGTTATACGCATCACTTGGTTTCATACCCAACACAATGTAGATGTGAATTTCTTAAAGACGGAGACAGTGATGCTTAGTGAACTCAGGTACCCACGGCTTTCTACGGCCCTCTGCACAAAACAGACTGCTTATTAAACTAGAAACTCTCCCGCTAATCGCCCTAAATCTCAAACACTCTCCTCATTCCTCACTATTCTCTGCAGTAACTAAAAAGTCACCCCACTAGCTCATGCCTGATGCTCCTCCTTCACATAAGCTACTACCCCAAGGAAACGTTCCAGCTTCTCCAAAGTAACCTGGAGATGAAAATCGCTGGCAGAAGCCAGAGTCGCTTTGCTACCACACGCACACGTGAGAGATCAGGGATGCTCGCTGCGCTCACTGAGAAACAAATCCTGTTTCATTTCCCAGAATTCTGCTTTTTGCCCACCTATCTTCTGTAAGGTTTTATGGCATTCTCTGTAAACCACAGGCGGTGGTTACAGACGTCCAACTTACTACAACTTGCACTTACAAACGGAGGCTATTACAGTAAGTCCCCGAGTTACAAACATCTAACTGATGTGTAACTCTCACAAGCTCTTACAGGTAACAGGTAAATGTACCTATTCCAACTTACATACAAATTCAACTTAAAAACAAACCTATGGGCTCGGCGCCTATAGCTCAACCGGCTAAGGCGCCAGCCACGTACACCTAAGGTGGCGGGTTCGAATCCCCAGCCTGGACCCGCCAAACAACAATGACGGCTGCAACCAAAAAATAGCCGGGCGTTGTGGCGGGCGCCTGTGGTCCCAGCTACTTGGGAGGCGGAGGCAGGAGACTCGCTTGAGCCCAGGAGTTGGAGGTTGCTGTGAGCTGTAATGCCACGGCACTCTGCCCAGGGGGACAGCTTGAGGCTCTGTCTCAAAAAAAAACAAACAAACAAACAAACCTATGGGACCTCTTTTGTAATCTGGGGACTGCCTATATATTCCTAGAACCCAATCCAAATCTCTAATAGATAAAAGAAGAAATTCCATGTGGAATTGTGGAGAGGGCAGAAGGGAGTGAACGCCAAGAGGAATATTTTAACTTGGATTAGGCTTAGGGATCCACCTTGTCCCAACAAACTTTCCTAACAAAGAAATGAACCATTTAGCAAACTCCAAGTTGTAGCACACACTTTCAGTGCTACAAAATTTTCTCTCTTCAAAATTTACCTCCTTGGTGCCTGGCCCAACACAGGTCTGATGGCCTCGATACTTTATGTTCTGTTAGCATTCATGTCAATTTCTGCATTTTTATGGTCTCATATATACACAACTAGATAGACACAGATAAAAGTATCTTGCCTCTGCACTTACAATTTAAAAAAACGTGAATCTATTAAGATAGAAGTCATATATCCAGTATTTTCTCTAAAAATTTAAATATAATATTCTGCACAAAGAAATCAGAGACAAAATGAAAATCATTCTATTTGGGTATACACGACAGATATAAATTCCCTGCATGAAAGATCACTTGTTGCTATCCTAACAAGATGGATAGCCAGGAACGTCGTATCACCCACTCTGCAATGACCCTCATCTGTGCTCTGTGATTCTCTCCAAGTCACAATGGTCTCAACATTTCCTGAGCACTGTCAAGGTGTCAGGCATTGACAGACCAACATCTAGAGAAAAAGACCAGGAATAGGCCTGCACTCAGAGCTTGGAGCCTAGGGGAAACTAGTCAGTCCTCGTCTGCCTGGAACTCTGTACACACCCATGGCTCTCCCAGGCTGCCTGCACCACTGACACCCATAACTGCATCCTCCTCATAGCCGCTCCTCTGTCACTCCCACTGCTGCCCTTGCCGTATCAGACTTGGGAAGTCCCTTCCCCTATGCCCTATGTGTGTTAGCACTGTAGTTCTTCATAGTCCAAAAGGAATGGCAAAAATTGCATTGTCAACTCATCAAGAATTAAAAAATGGTTTGCTTCTGGCTGAAAACTAATACGAACATGAAGAGCACAAAAATGTGGGATGTAGAGGGGATATGTATACAAAGCAGGAAGCCAACCCTAACTAAAGAATGCTAAGTACTAAGTATATAAGGCCCAAAAAGGATGGCTGGGTCTAAATGGGGTGGGAAATTAACTCTCGCAGTATCCCCAAACCACAAATGTTGCTTCTGAAAGACCACCACTCTAGGAATGCAGTTAGGAAACAGTAAGCTCCAAGGACAGCCACTTGCATTAGAACCAAGTGGTTATCCCTGCTCCCCATCCTAGAAGTGAGGTATGAAGCTGAGGCCCACAGGAGGGCGGTGAGGTGATGTCCAGGGGTTTGGGCTAATGCCCAAGGCAAATGGTCTGTGCAGGCAGAGGCCAGCGCTCAGAGCAGGCAGAGAGCAACGCACCTGGCCTTCTTGGACTTCGTCCTGGCTGTAGAGTCAGCACAGCTCCTCTTGTCTTTGGCCTCCCTGGGGACCGAGGCCTCCCGGGGCTTCCGCGTCTTCTTTGCTCCGTCCTTCTGCTTCGGCTCCTTGGGCTCCTTGGCCTTCCTCTGCTCCTTGGCCTTCCTGGGCTCCTTTGGCTCTTTCGGTTCTCGCCTCCTCTTTGGCTTGGGCTCCCTGTCCTTGCCTCCCTTTGCGGCCTCTTGCTCTCCTGGCTCCTTTTTCTTCCGTTTCTTTTTCACCCCAGTTCCTCCTCCTCCACTGTCCTCCGTCCCATTATGGGATGTCATTTTTCTAGGAAACAGGGTGGCAGCGTCCTCCTCAGTGGTGTACAGGTCCTTCTGGGGCAAGTGACTGGCAACATCTTCAATCTTCTCTTCCTGATCAGTGCTGCAGTCAAATGGTGATGGGGATTTGTAGTCAAAATTGACAGAGGCATCAGACATTGGGGAGTGATTCAGAACTTTTAAACTGGACAACTGTAAAAGAAAGAGAAACGAGTCTATTACCCTTCCAATGCACCTTCTCCATACAAAGAGCAGCATTCAGTCTGAACACAGAGATTTGTTCAGCAAATATTTACTACTATATGTTATTCTAACTGCTAGGCCGGGGGTTGCCCTTACGGAGCTATACCAAAGTCTTGTTAGCGTACTGCACTAAAATAACAGCACAGAAAAACATGAAGAATTTGCACATTATATAGAATCTGAAACACCTTTTAAGCTTCCCATCTGAAATAGGAAACATTATAGTCTCCTACAAAATACCTTTAGATGCCACTAGCAGACACACCCGTGTTATTGAAGTAATACACAAAAGTTGTTCACGTGTAAGGATGCAGAGTTGAATTCAGTGCTGCTTTACCGCCCCAAGTCTTCCTTCTCACCTATTACCAAGCAGCATCAACATTCAACTTGGGTAATTCTCAACAAAAATCAGGATCATTCAACTAAAAAATCGTAACTATAAAAGGTGATGTCCTATATGATCATCTAACATAGTTACAGATCGATCACCAAATAGCCTTTGGCCATTTGCAAAAACACAAACTACCTACACACGTGTAAGATGAAGCTTTATTGCGATAGATGCCATTAGCAAGGAGGTGTCGCAGCTGCTGAAGGCAGCACTACAAAGGAAGATTCGAAGCCGGTTTGAGTATCGTCAAATCAAAGTACAGCTTCTCCAGGTGACCACTTTTTTTTTTTTTTTTTTTTTTTTGAGACAGAGCCTCAAGCTGTCCCCCTGGGTAGAGTGCCGTGGCATTACAGCTCACAGCAACCTCCAACTCCTGGGCTCAAGCGAGTCTCTTGCCTCTGCCTCCCAAGTAGCTGGGACCACAGGCGCCCGCCACAACGCCCGGCTATTTTTTGGTTGCAGCTGTCATTGTTGTTTGGCGGGTCCGGGCTGGGGATTTGAACCCGCCACCTTAGGTGTACGTGGCTGGCGCCTTAGCCGGTTGAGCTATAGGCGCCGAGCCCAGGTGACCACTTTTAAGGAAGCATCCCTCTGGAAGTAGAAGTTAAATCTCATTCTTTCAGGTCTGGTGTTACAAAAAGTATTTACCATTTCGTAACCAAGCTAAGGTTGACACCAATCAGGCAACAGGGTGGGTGTTGGTTTCAGAGAACAGAGATAAGAAGAGCCTGTGAGGGATAAGCAGGATTTCTAGGAAGATGGTTACAGTCATCTTTGGATAATGCCTTAGAAACAGCACCATTTGCGAGGCGCCTTTTCTGCTGACGAGAGTCTGGCGTGTGCTAAAGGGCACAGACACCTGCCCGGGTGGTATGGCTTCCCTCCAATGTGCCAGTTACCCCATCTGTGCTCAGACTTCCTCGCCCACCCTGGGAGCGATGGAGACTACAGAATTTAGCTGCATATTTCCCCTTCTGCTTCTTCCAGTTCCCTTCCCTGTCTGATGCTCCTAAACGCAACACTGAGAATACCAGGAGAGAAAGATGAAAGAGGAGAAATAGTTTTTTTGGATCTTTATCATAAAATATAGTCTGGCCTCATAAACAAGCCTAAATCCAAAGGGAACGGGTGATTCTGGCAGGACCCACTACTGAAAAAAAAAACAGAGAAACAATTCGGTTTGACCACCTCATTACCAACTGTGGACTTAAGATGGTTTATAAAAAGGAGGAGCTAAGTAGACATAAAAGAAATTTAAAACAGAATACAAGAAAATGGTTAAGACGATCAATTTTATGTCGTGTGTTCTTACCACAAGGCAAGAAGAAACCCAGCAGTGGGGTGACAGGTGAACAGGTAACCAGTTAAAGCTCAGATCCTGTAGGCTATGTAGCCAACCTTGGAATATTATCAAATTCTGTGCCAGGAACACTTGGCCATCAACCAGAGCATAAGATTTTGCTTAGCATGGAAGGACAGATGGATTAAAAAAGCAAGACATATAGGTCTGCTTACTAAAGAAGCTTTCAAAGGTAACACATAAAAGACACAATTCTACCAGGGCAGCTCTCCATAGGTCTGAGCAAGCTCTCTCTCCAACCTCATGTCCAGGTCTCTTTTCTGAAGGTTAAGCTCTCCAAAGAAGCTGGAGGCAGGTGACAGCAGGGGTTACACACAACAGAAGCAGCTAATATTTACTGAACACGTACCATATGGACACACGAGGCAGTACAGAAGGCCAGTTTCATGATCACTAACCTGTAACAGTCCCACCAGGTCAGCATAAAGAGGCCCATTTTGTATACAGTGAAATGGAGGAGTAGTTAGGCTAAGTGATGTGCCCAAAGCCACCAGCTAGCAAGTGGAGGTGCTTAGATTTGAACTCCCCAACTATTCGAAGCTAACGCTCCTTCACTGAGCACCGTACGACCTGCTAGACAAACTACAATGACTTAAAGCCCCCGGACCAGCGGAAGGAAACTTGGTTAGAAACGTTAGATGTGATGGCGTAGACAACCACTGTGGGAAAGGTCGTGCAGTGCTTTATAAAATTAAACATACCTATATGATGTCCCAGCAATTCTATTCCCAGGAATCACAGATAATTGTCTACTGTGCCCCCTCATCTTACAGATAAAATAATTAGCTCAGAGAAATGAAGCAAAATGCCAAGGTTATACTCCTGGACAGCAGTAAGGCTGGGCATACTAACGGGAGAAGGGAAACCCAAGAAACACAGCAATACTGAAAAGAGGAAAGTATCTCCAAAGGCAAACCATAGTAACAAAAACATATAAAATTATAATTGCAAAAGTCAATAATCCACCAGAAATGTTTTTGTTTTTATTTGTAAAGCACCTTGTTGGGAGCTTGGACAGCCGGGCACAGTAGCTTATGCCTGTAATCCTGGCACTTTGGGAGGACTACTTCAGGCCAGGAGTTTAAGACCCCATCTCTAAAAATTAGTTGGGGCTGGTGGCCTGTAGCCCATCTCCTTCGGAGGCTGAGGCAGGAGGATCACCTGAGCCCAGGAGGTTGTACTGACCTATGTAGTGAGGCCACTGTACTCTAGCTGGGACAACAGAGCAGGATTTTGTCTCCAAAAAAAAAGAAGATACAAAGTATTTCTTTCATGTATCTTAAGGTAGGGGGAGGAGAAGAACCTAAATAAAGTCTCTGTTTCAGCTTCAACCAAGAAAGATATTAAGGGCGACGCTTGTGGCTCAAAGGGGTAGGGTGCCAACCCCATATGCTGGAGGTGGCGGGTTCAAACCCAGCCCCGGCCAAAAACTGCAAAAAAAAAAAAAAAAAAAAGTAAGAAAGAAAGATATTAAACGTCACTTTGAAAATGGCCTCAGAAGAACAGGTCTGAGAGAATGGACCACAGGTGCCAATAATATTTTACATTAACATCAATAACTTAAATAAATGAAAATCACAAAGATGAAGTGGAGAAGGGCCCACTGACAAAGCATGCAACAATGCTAGCCCATAAAGCTGCGTCAAAGTAATAAAACCCATTTCTTTGATTCAAACTCATCAAGCTACAATACTCTTGGAAAACACACGTAAAGATCTGAATCTAGGCTCGGCGCCTATAGCTCAACCGGCTAAGGCGCCAGCCACGTACACCTAAGGTGGCGGGTTCAATCCCCAGCCCGGACCTGCCAAACAACAATGACGGCTGCAACCAAAAAATAGCCAGGCGTTGTGGCGGGCGCCTGTGGTCCCAGCTACTTGGGAGGCTGAGGCAGGAGACTCGCTTGAGCCCAGGAGTTGGAGGTTGCTGTGAGCTGTGATGCTATGGCACTCTACCCAGGGGGACAGCTTGACGCTCTGTCTCAAAAAAAAAAGATCTGAATCTAGACAAACTGGGTTAAGGGCAGTTGGAAAGGGTTTGCAAACTAATAGAAAGACTATAGCCCAAGGCAATGGTTCCTAGAAATTCAGGGACAAACCTGAGCTTTCTTCTTAAGAATTACTCAAGTACTTGAACCTTAAAATAGATTCTAAATAAGAAAATTGCGCAAAATACCTACTCTATTTGTTACAGAATCTTCTTCATCGGTTATAACCTTAGTAAGCTTTTTTCCCCAAACATTTTCAACAGAAAGGCCTGGAAATATAATGTCCTAAATGTAAACTATTAAACTGCAGGACATCAGATTGAAAAAAATTAAACAAGCATATGTCACTCTCTACTTTTTTTGGTCTAGAAACATAACACCGCTGTCTGTATGGAAGGCATACATGGACACCTGACAATGCCACTTCAGTGGCTTCCAAGCTTGGTATTATTCTCTATCCAACTTCCTGAGGAGTGGCGGTGGGGGGGGGGAGAGGGAGAGACAGAGAGAGAGAGAGAGAGAGAGGGAGATTTTCTTTCTGTCTTTCTTTTTTTTTTTTTTTGCAGTTTTTGGCCAAGGCTGGGTTTCAACCTGCCACCTCCGATATATTGGACCAGCGCCCTACTCCTTTGAGCCACAGGCGCCACCTGAAAGAGAGATTTTCATTCTCACTCAAGGAAACAGTATTTACTGATCAATTAAAAGTTTCTTCAAATATTGGCATGGCAAACAGATATACTCAGAGTTTTAAAGGTGGAAAGAGAAAACAGTCCCAAGTTGAGATGACATTTCCCCTCCCCAATTTCTTTCAAAGAAAAATTATAAAGTAATAATATACTATTACATTCTCCCAATTTTTCCTAAAAAGTATACACACTTTACGTGAAATAAAGTAATTATGAAATTTATGTATTTTTCACCTCAAACTACAGTCATCAAGATTAGTGACTTCTATACTTTAAAGGAGTATAGTAGGTTCCTTGTATCTACAGGTTTTCAGTCTGCAGACTAAACCAAATGCAGATCAAAAACATTTGAAAACAGGGCTTAGCGCCTGTAGCACAGCAGTTACAGCACCAGCCACATAAATCAAGGCTGGTGAGTTTTAACCCAGCTTGAGTCAGCTAAATAACAATAACTGTAACCAAAAAATAGCTAGGTGGTGTGGTGGGCACCTGTAGACCCAGCTACTTGGGAGGCTGGGACTGGAG